CAGAGCTTGAAAATCCATGCGGAATGTACAAATTATTGACTTTTCGAGTGAAGCTAGTTCTGTTTGAATTTTTCAGGCACTAAGTTATATATAGTTATCTTGCTATCGTCTCTATCTAGCCTGGCACAGACCGTTCAAGATTGCACTGTTTAATTAGCACCAACACTAACAGTCATGGTGGCAGGGATGGATCCAGCATGATCTGGTAGAAGGGGGGGGGGGTTGATCTGCCAGCTCTAATGTCGAGTTATGTTGGTCATGCATGCCACCCGCCCATCAACTTACAGGTCAAGTCTTGCTTGACTACTGTATTTGAATTGTAATTGTTGTTCACAGTTCGCTTCTTATCATGTTATCGATATCACTCAAATTACTGTATCTCATTTTGTCTCTAAAATATTTTTTTGCTTTATCATGAAAAATAGCACCCCCCCTGGCCAGGGCTAGGGAGGTGACCCCCCCAGTAAATCCATCCCAACATACAGTTGGGTTTATAGGGGGAGGGGAGGGGGGTTGACGGAGGTAAACACCCTTGGCCAACAGGGGAGTGTAAAAATCGAAGGGGGGGGGGGTGCACTACAAATTGAATTTACCATACATCTGAGCATTTGAGATATTGTATATAATTAGTATTACAATTATATTGCCGCCTTGTAACCTTAGATATTTCATGTGGTATGTGTAATTGGGGTTAGTATGCTAAGTATCTTACTCGTCAAGCAATGCCGGGTTCAGAGTCCTCACTTGTTCGCCTAGCAATCAACAATATACAATTTTAATGCCAAATTGTGTGCCAACATGCAAAATGGACTCTGCACAGGTTGTGCACTACCTTTTCATTTCATGCTGGGTGAACATTATCGTGATGATAGCAAAAAAAACATATTCACAACTAATGTGTCCTCTTTTACTACTTTTGTAATTGTCTTGTTTCATGACCTAAATAAGCTAACACACTTAGTAGCTCATGCTTACCTTTCAACCGGCACATTAGCAATGGCCGGCCCATTTTTCTTTATAGTGGTGTCAGGTGTGCAAGTTATTCAATAGGGTACTAACCTTGTATACAGGGCATTATAGAATTAAAAAATTCTGGGCAGGATGTTACAAGGCCATCGGAAGTAAATCAATATTGGGGGGACTCAAGAATATATCTGAATAAATTTTAATTGCTTTTGCACTTTTCTAGTTATTTTGTGTGTTTTGCTTATACAAATGGAAATTTTAGGGGGGGGGCTCAAGCCCCCCACTTCTGACGAGCCTTGTGTTACATGTGACATTGCCAGCTGCCATTAATAGTTTGCAGAATTGTGAAAAATAAATCAATGCTGTAGATGGCAAATTTGTTTAAACAACATACACTGCAACAAATCATGATACAGACAAGCACATCCTGTATATGAGGCTTGCTAAGATGTGTAACAAACATTCAACATCAAACAATTTAGTTATTGTCACATAAAAGAACACATAATAGAGTAAAACCTTATATGAATATCATATCTGTAAAGAATTCAGATATTCAAGTACTTCAGCAAGACATAAAAGAACACATAGTGGAGACAAACTTTATAATCAATCTCATGTTTTTCATTAACCAGGGATGGATCCAGCATGATCTGGTAGGGGGGGGGTTGCTCTACTAGCTCTGCATGGTGCCGAGTTGTGTCGGTCATGTGTGCCGCCCACCCATCAACCTGTTTCACTACTGCAAAGTCTTGCTTGACTACTGTATTTGAATTGTAATTGTTGTTCACAGTTCGCTTATCATCATGTTATTACTCAAATTACTGTATCTTATTGTGCCTCTAATAATTTTTTGCTTTATCATGAAAAATAACACACACCCTCTGGCCAGGGCTAGGGGGGTGCACCCCCCAGTAAAGCCATCCCTGTCATTAACAGTAGGGTGTAATGGACCAAGCCATCCCCTTTAATTTGTTTCTTTAGTTGGGAGAGGAGTTCTAAGGCCCTTCATAATTTTTGAAGATTACATTACATAATACAATATTAATTTTACTCATTGCAAACAGTAAGTTACAAATGAGCTTTGTATTCCATAGAATGCAAAGTATTTAACTATTTCTGGGTAAAGTTAGATTTTAAGTTGTTTTTAAGAAGTTAAAGCTGATCACATAATCAATCTATTTTTTGGGTCACTTAAAGATATACCCTGCAAAAATAGCACTTTCCTTTTATTTTATTTTACAACTTGAAATTCACATTCTATTAGACACTAGGGGCATATGGGGTACTCATTTTCCAGAATCTTAATTATGGGTAGGATGAAATCTCAGTGTTCCCCGTGAAGGGCCCCCTTGACCCAGGGCCTTCCTTAGGGATTCTTCAGGGGGGTGTAAGGTCATTTCAAATGATTGAAGAACAGGGCCGCCGAGAGGTTGACGGGAGCTCAGACGAAATAATATTAATTAATTATTATTAATTTATTTATAATAATTATTATTATTATTATTATTAATTTAATTAATTAATTATTAATTTAATTTATTAATTAAATTAATTATTTAAATTAAAATTTCCAAACACTGCATAAAGGTTAGCCCAGGGACTTTCCTTGACAAGGCACACCCCCTGGGCCCCTGGCTCTTGCTAGGCACAGCCCTTAGGAGTTATGCCACTGCGGAGTGAACATCAGACCATTATTCCAGCCGGCTTGCTGTACAACTTTCTATTTACTTGAGCATAAAATATCATAGTAGAAGAGCTAATTCAATCATAAAATGTTGAGTTCATAAACCATGGTATGCAGGGCAAAGGTACTGAAACGTCTAGTGGCAAGGTTTGACCAGAGGGTGGGTACTGATTTCCCAATGAGTATGGAATACTCAGGATTACCAAGTTAATTGGTCTTGTGGAATTTTATGTGTATTATGTCTATAATACCAATGGAGAAAGTGCATTACCACTTGCAATCTACAGCATTGATTTATTTTTCACAATTCTGCAAACTATTAATGGCAGCTGGCAATGTCACATGTAACACAAGGCCGTCAGAAGTGGGGGGCTTGAGCCCCCCTAAAATTTCCATTTGTATAAGCAAAACACACAAAATAACTAGAAAAGTGCAAAAGCAATTAAAATTTATTCAGATATATTCTTGAGTCCCCCCAATATTGATTTACTTCCAATGGCCTTGTAACATCCTGCCCAGATTTTTTTTAATTCTATAACGCCCTGTATACAAGGTTAGTACCCTATTGAATAACTTGCACACCTGACACCACTATAAAGAAAAATGGGCCGGCCATTGCTAATGTGCCAGTTGAAAGGTAAGCATGAGCTACTAAGTGTGTTGGCTTATTTAGGTCATGGAACAAGATAATTACAAAAGTAGTAAAAGAGGACACATTAGTTGTGAATATGTTTTTTTTGCTATCCTCACGATAATGTTCACCCAGCATGAAATGAAAAGGTTGTGCACAACCTGTGCAGAGTCCATTTTGCATGTTGGCACACAATTTGGCATTAAAATTGTATATTGTTGATTGCTAGGGGAACAGGTGAGGACTCTGAACCCGGCATTGCTTGACGAGTAAGATACTTAGCATACTAACCCCAATTACACATACCACATGAAATATCTAAGGTTACAAGGCGGCAATATAATTGTAATACTAATTATATACAATATCTCAAATGCTCAGATGTATGGTAAATTCAATTTGTAGTGCACCCCCCCTTTCAATTTTTACACTCCCCTGTTGGCCAAGGGTGTTTACCTCCGTCAACCCCCCTCCCCTCCCCCTATAAACCCAACTGTATGTTGGGATGGATTTACTGGGGGGTCACCTCCCTAGCCCTGGCCAGGGGGGGGTGCTATTTTTCATGATAAGCAAAAAAATATTTTAGAGACAAAATGAGATACAGTAATTTGAGTGATATCGATAACATGATAAGAAGCGAACTGTGAACAACAATTACAATTCAAATACAGTAGTCAAGCAAGACTTGACCTGTAAGTTGATGGGCGGGTGGCATGCATGACCAACATAACTCGGCATTAGAGCTGGCAAATCAAACCCCCCTCCCCTTCTACCAGATCATGCTGGATCCATCCCTGCCACCATGACTGTTAGTGTTGGTGCTAATTAAACAGTGCAATCTTGAATGGTCTGTGCCAGGCTAGATAGAGACGATAACAAAATAACTAGATTTAACTTAGTACCTGAAAAATTCAAACAGAACTTCACTCGAAAAGTCAATAATTTGTACATTCCGCATGGATTTTCAAGCTCTGTGGATTATGGAATATAAACTAGGCTGTTATTACAATTTTCAAAATTGAAGTTGAAAGTGTCAAAAATTTCTTATCTTGGCCAATCTATTTTTTACTTTTAAAGCATAATTCACTGAAACATATAGATATTTATAATTTAAGTTTGAGAAAAATTCTGTTATAAAATCTTTTTCAGATTAATCAGGTAAAGAGTAAGATACCTGGCATATCAGAATATAAGTTCTACCAACCAAAAAGAATAAAAAGATCAAAAAACAACAATAGAAATTATAGAATATAAACTCCATTTAAACTCCACTCCTTAGCTTGGCGCCATATTGAATTTCGCGGTCGCGCTGGTAAAGGTCTGGGGACTAGGTGCTCTACCGTATCTGAAATAGCCTTCACCTACTTTTCCGAAGGAAAAATCAAAATTTCAAGCAAACAAAGATGGCAGCCGACGACATGAGCGAATTAAATTTTCAAGTGGACGACATCGAAAAGTTTCGCGAAGACATTGCTATAACATCAACACCACCAGCACAAAATCTTTCCATTGTTCAAACGCACGAATACAATGATGAAATATTTATAGATTTAGTAAAAGAACAACCGTGTTTAAGGAACACAGCCTTTCGATCTTACAAAGATCAAACGAAAAAGAAGTATGCCTGGGCAAATATTGCTAGTAAAATGGGCAGCATGTAGTATTAATTATATCTTCTGACAAATTCATTGTTTGTGCAGCTAATCGTTAAGCCATATTTGTTTTTTATTTATTTATTTAGCTTTGCCAACTAGGGCAGGGTCACCACAACAGCATATGCCAATTACTGTGGGCCCTTTTTTACCTAACCCACCCTGTCAACTTTCCCTGTGGGAGGAAACCAGAGTACCCGGGGAAAACCCACGGCTTTCGGCAGAGCGTTGACTTTTACTCTTTTCACATGGGGACTGGGTTCGAGTCACACTGAGAAGGTACTTAGTGAGATTCGAACCTGCAGCCTCAGAGGTGAAAGGCAAGTGCGCTAACCACTTGGCCACCGAAGCCCCTTTTTAAAATTGGCGCGCTTTTTTCTCCGTGCACGGAATGGAAATGCACTTAAAAAAGCGAGCGGTAATTTCGCGCCGAAAATGTCGATCGCGCGACATTTTGCACTGAGTGGATATCCGCCTTTAGGTCGTTGGTTCGAACCCAGCTCGCAAGATGTAAAAAGCAGGCGTTCTTTTTGGCGGGTGGGAAAACACCAGCAGGAGTCGCGGCAACGTAGACCTGAAAATTTGGCGCGTGGCTTCGTGGGCAAAAAGTTTGACAAAAATATAGATATAAAACATATTTATTGTTGGATTGGATGGCAAGATTAAGGCATTAAAGTTAAAGGATTGAGTAATAAATTTCCATGCAGAAATAAAAATCGAGACATTTTTTAACACACCCCATGTGGATATATTTAAAAGATTTAAAAGTCATTTATTTCTTCAAAACGTTCACGAAGTTATGCTTCTAATATATATCGTCGTTTGTTTGAGACGTTTTATTGTTTAAGATATGTACGTATGATGCCATAAAATATTGCATGATATCCTGAGATATTGTATGATATCCTATGAAACTGGATGATATTCTAAGATATTGCATGATATCGTAAGATGTTGTACCATATCCTAAGATACTGGATGATATGCTAAGATACAGTATGATATCCTACACTATAGTCTTAATAGTCACAACTATATATAGCCTTAATAGTCATGACTTTAGTCGTAATAGTCATGACTATAGTCTTATTAGCCATGACTGTAGTTTTAATAGTCGTGACTATAGTGTAGTTAGTATCAATCTCAGTATTCAATTATTCAATCTAAGGATTCAATGATTCAATCTAATTAGGACCCAATTATTCAAATCTAGGATTCAATTTTCAATCTTAGGATTCAATGATTCAATCTAAGGATTCAATGATTCAGTCAAAGGATTCAATGATTCAATCAAAGGATTTAATGATTCAATCAAAGGATTTAATGATTCAATCAAAGGATTCAATGATTCAATCTAAGGATTCAATGATTCAATCTAAAGATTCAATGATTCAATCTAAGGATTCAATGATTCAATCTTAGGATTCAATGATTCAATATGATTGAATCATCCTTAGAAAAGAATACTTGAATCCCAAGGTTGAATAATTGTATCATTAGATTGAATCATTGAATCCTGATATTGAATCATTGAATCATAAGATTGAATAATTGAATCCCTAGATTGAATCATTGAATCCTTAGATTGAATAATTGAATCGTAAGTTTGAATTATTGAATCCTAGATTGAAACATTGAATCCCAAGATTGAATAATTGAATCCTTAGATTGAATCATTGAATTCTAAGATTAATACTTGCTAACTATTAAGACTATAGTCATGACTATTAAGACAATAGTTATGACTACTAAGACTATGGTCACAACTATTACGACTACAGTCATCACTATTAAGACTATAAATAGTCGTGACGACTTTAAGACAATAGTCTAGGATACTGTATCTCAAGATATCATCCAGTGCCTCAGCTTAGAATATGATACAACATCTTAGAATATCATGCAATATCTTAGAATATCATCCAGTATCATAGATAATGAAACGCCTCAAACAAACGAGGATATATATTAGAAGCATAACTTTGTAATCGTTTTGAAGAAATAAATGCGTTTGCGTTTTAGATCTAAATTCTTGCGCAAATTTATGCCCGCAAAGCCACACGCCCGATTTAAATAATACCTATCTATCCACAATAAACACCTAAGAGATTAAGTTTTAGCTTGTAATCCTTTCAAGGCTTTACAGTTTACGTCTTGACATAAAAATCAAATAAATTATGCTCATCCCAAACATGGAAAGGTATAACGTCCCTATCTGTGCAAATTCCTGTTCGTCTAGTCCCTTAACTACCTTAATTTAACCTTTGTCCACTTATCGCCTAATGACTTAGCAACACATAGCAACACAACACAGTATTTTGTGAAAATACATTGATTATGTTAATTGAGCCTAGCCAAAAATATTACAACTAAAACTGTTTGTTAAATTGTTCCACAAGTACATTATAAACTGACGTACTCTATTGTGACCTATGGTAACGTCACTGAGTTCTGTAACAGGCAACGTAACCATGTAAAGCAACCCAGAGTGACGCATAGTCATGAGACCGAGTTCCGTAACCAGTAATTGGTCGCGTTACCTTGTTGTGTTTGAACACGTTACCAGTCACATTTGCCCAGCAAAGTAACGTCATAGATTTTGCATACTAACAACTTGAAACACCAAATTAGACTTGCATACTAATTACTTCTGCCAGAGTGTTAGCTGAGCGAAGTGACGTCATAGATTTTGCAAGCTCATCATAAATTCCGCCAGAGTGGGGTCTGTCACTACTGACGTCTTTAAAATGTAAACAACAGTTACTAATCTTAGCGGTTGTCAGAAAAGAAAGAATATCAGCGTCCACAGCCAAACAGAAACCTAAGCATTTCGAAATGTTTGCGATCTCGAGCATGCTGAAAATGCTAACTTTAACCATATTGATGTTTACTATTGCAAGCATTGATGCACAGAACTGCTTTCCCAGGTATGCTACGAGACCATCAGGACAGGTACGTCTACCGTTTTTATATAGTAAATTAAAATATTAACTTTCATTTATTTATTTATATATATATAGCTTCCCCTTAAGAGAAACGTACACAATATAAGTACAACAATTCACATACATGAGACAGAACAAGAGGCGGGGACACCACAGCAGTTTACACCAATTACTGTGGGCCTTTGCAAACCCTTTCCCTCTAAAACATCAATGTCGCTATAAAGTACTAATTACAGTGATAGTATTCTCCTATTTACTTCAATATTCCATTAACAAGTCGTAATCTATTTGAACTTTTTTTTACTTTTAAACAGGAGGTCCTCGTTTACCTCCAGATGAGGTTATATCGAGTCATAGTGTTGAAAACCCTAATAAAGTGGTACCATCTTTGTGAGAAAGAACGAAAATGTGTTGGATTTAACTACAGAATTAAAGCAATCAAAGTTCAAAACTGCCAACTGACCAACGCTACGAAAAACAAAGATACAACAACAGCAGGAGATCGGACGCGACATTGAAGCGGTATGGAAATATATAATTATATGCAAATATTAGGCTCATAAAATGAGACATGGAAAAAAAGCCCCGTGCAAACTAAAACGAGTCCAATGAAGAAATAAAATGTTTATTCCATATTAGCGCAAAAGGTAAACGAAGTAAGATGGCGACGGAATAGGGGGTTGGGCTATCAGTGAGTGCTATAGATCCTCAAGGAGTAATTAAAGTTCTGGGCTAATCTTTCTTTTCCCTTCTCGAAAATATTTGCCGATTAGACTAAAACGGTAATATGTATAGGATGTTCACCCCAGTCTAAAGGGTAAAGTGAACAACAGTAGCAACAACGATCCTCTACTTAGTAGAGAATTGAGACCCTCTCCCTTCCAGAAATAAAACCTGAAAGAAAAAAGTAGCTTTCATGACAAGTGCAAATCAGTGGTTTAGGCCAAGTAAAAAAAATTAGTAGTTTCTCGTCCGAATTTTGGAAGAAAAGGAGAACGCGGGGGCTTTTTTTTTCTTTTTTTTTGTTAAACCTTCAAATGTTGCTTAAAGTTTACCAAATAACCTATAAACATGCACAAATATTGAAGTTTACTCATAAAACGTAAATATATAAAAAATAGACAAACGGCTATACTAATGCAATATGGCGTCAAAATAACAAGATGCACGAAAAGCGGCGCGAAGTACCGAACAGCAAGTGAGAGTTGACAAAAAGTTCCGAACGGCAACTGAACTATGCCGAAAGGATCAAAATGCCCGAAATATGTAAGTGGAAATTCTGTGAAAGGCTAGAATATAATAAAATAAAGAAGAAAAAAAAGAAAAATCCATGCGGCAGGGAAAAAGGATGCGGGCGGGGACGAGAAACTACTACTTTTTTACTTTGCCTTATTTGCAGACAGTTGTTTTGTATTAAGAGCACAATTTGCGCGCTCGTTTCGCAAATACACAAAGTAAGTAATTACAGCGGCTGCATTTCGTATAATATCGCTACAGAATAATTTTTATTTATTATTCGAGATCTCATCTTTACAACAATAAGGTTGAACTTAACTTCGAGTCGGTGTGTTTACACTCATGTTCTTCCTCTTCTTTGTCGTTATCTGTATTGTCATGGGTCGTGTAGTTTTTGAGTTTCAGCTTTCACCCTCTCTATGTACTTTGCATCCACTAATTGGAGTTGACCGTCTTTAATATTGACGGTTCAGAATCAAACATCATCTATTTTTAAATTTAACCTAAAATTTTATGCACTAGGCTAAAATTTAGAATAAGTGAAAGTGCCACGTAATAATATACCGTACATCAGTTTGTTCATTTAGAATTGAAAAGTTTAGCTATTCAATTCTCAAGCATGCAATAGAAGAAATAACGTAGAAAATATAATGTCATATTAAATCATATCATGCCTGCGTTGTAGTGGACGATTTTTTACGAGAAAGTACGATATCCCGCAGGTACGTTGTGAAGCTGAGGAGTGTATTTGAGTGCGGCGCTTATTAAAAATGTATTATTTGCTTCCGCGCACACAAACAAACTGTGAATTTCCAAAGTTCTACAGAGAGAATTGAATGTGAGAGCATTAAAATGTTCGAACCTTAAACTTAATCTTTGTATACTATAGGATTAAATAAACCAAGATAGATTGAAAATTGCGATGTACTGTTCATGACTTCATGTACGTCCCTCTCTAATAATTCTACCAGATCATGTTTGAGTTAAGTGCTGCGCAATTGTTTTGAGTAAGTGCAGCGCTTTTTAAATTATCTGTCATGTTCCATGCCGCATCCAGGACAGAGCATAATAAATTAATAAATAAATAAAATACTTTATTTAAAGTGCCACTAACCCCCTAAATTTTCTTTTCATAAAATCAATAACCGCTATTTATGGAGTACAAAAATGAAAAAATTTTTTTAATCGGTTGAATTCTCGCTATTCTATGGCTTCTCAAAGTTTGAAAAATTGCCCTAAAATCGACGCCATTTTGTCCCACGAGCGAGCGCCGATGATCTGGGCTTGTGACGTCAATTGGTGAACCGGCTGTTGTGTCAACACAAGTGTTTACAGTGCTAGGCGAGTTTGTTAGGCATGCGAGCGGCGAGAAAATGCCGAAAAGATGCGTTGTTGCCGGTTGTAACAACATAGGAGATAAGGAAAGAGAAATATCGTTGCATGCAATTTCTTATTCGGGGGACGAACGGCCCGAAGCGAAAAAAAACGAAAGAAATGGACTGACTTCGTACTAAGCCTCAAACGTGCAAAATGGACGCCGACGTCGTATTCAGTCATATGCTATGAGCATTTCAAGCCCGAGGATTTTTTGCGACGGTTTGCCCATGTCGAAGGTGAAAGCTTCGTTGGCAACAGATGGCTCAAAAGGGACGAGATCCGAATTTGTGTATTCCCAACAATCATGCCATCAGCTGACGCACAGAAAGTTTCAGACAGATACAAGAGAATGGTATGCTAATTTTGTATTTTATACATAATTGTGCGTAACTTGAATTTGTTTGACTAAACTGATTTAATTAATAAACATATCATTATATAACATGCTAACACTTAAACTGATGTACAGTAATTGGATAAAGCATATAAGAAAGACAATTTCGTTTATTCTGTGAGAGCTTTCTTTGTCATTTCTGTCTTCAGCCTTGCAGATTTTTGTAATTTCCGTGTGCAATTTGATACAGTATTATACAGTGATATAATTCTCCATCTATGTCTCTTGCTATGCGTATGTTTTAGTGAAGTCAATATGCCCACTATGACCCATAGGTGTGTATTTTAAGGATGTCTCAGGAGGGTATCATATTTGACTGTCAAAATAATTATAGTGAAATATTGATCAATGCATACCATGTACCCATGCATATATAGATATTTTATTTTTCCATTATACAGTTACAGTTTTGATAAAATATAAAGATACAATTCATATGGAAGGAAGACTAACAAGCCCGTCAGGGCTTTTCTAGTAGTCCACCCTAAAAAATTTAAAAAACAAACTAATATAACAAAGGAGAATAGTGTCAGATAATGTCAGGTTCAAGATATATGAGGTCCACTAATACAAATTTACAGATTATGTCGAAGAAATATTTCAAACTTTTCTCAATGTTACCAAAGATGATCTTAAAAAGGCAGCCAAGCAACTCAAAGAGTACGGTGTCTTTGCAAAGTGTTGCCCACTGCCTATGGCCCATAGATAAGTTACCCAGTATGCTTGCTGTTAATTTAAATCTTTTTGTTACTGTAGTTTCACTACTACGTTGTTGAACAGAGCCAAAAGAAGTCTAAAGGAGCACCAAAATGCAGGGCATGTGAACAACCCATGAAAGGACACAAGTTTGTTACAGACTGTCCAAGGAATGAAAGGAGCACATCATAGTGTATTATATGGATAAGGCATTTGAGGAAGGAGGGCATATTGGGAGGTGGTTTTTTTTTCAGAAGGGCATATTAGGATTATTCAGGATGTTGGGGATTTATAATAGAGATTGGGGCTTATATTACAGCAGGAAGGGTTTTAACAGAGGGGAAATATTTGGAAGGGTGGTGCTTATTACGGATGGAGCTTACTAGGGAGGGTGGTGCTTATTAGGAGAGGACTCAATAGAGTGGGTACTTTATAAGGAGGGTAGTGCTTATTAGGGGGGGGGGCTAATAGAGAGGGTGGTGATTATTGTGGGAGGGGCTTAATAGCAGAGTGCTTTATAGGCAGGGTGGTGATATTTGTTAAATAAATTATATTATGCACTACTTGTATCAAGTTTTTTCTACTTTACTTCTTTTCTATCCCTGATGAGCACTAGTCAAAACTGATTTATGTTGATACCAAATATGTTCCATATAGGTTTCATTAGAGTATAATATTTAAATAGTACAGTAAAACCCTGCTTTACAAAAGAACCAGTTCAGACTAGAATTCCAAAACAGCTTCTTATTTTATCGAAGAAGCAAAAAATTAAACATCAATTAAAGAAAATAAGCTCTTTATAAAATAATGGAAACACTGTTATTTTGTAAACATCTACGGTAGGTTCTTATACGATGGGTTTTACTGTATGTTAGCTTAGTCATTAATGATTCATCTTTTGTGAGAGGGCATGTCTTCCTTATTGCATGGTATGCACATGCAGCAGTGGGATTCTTGTTTTTCCAATTACACCATACACCATCCTTGTAAACTTTCTGTATGCCACACTATGTAAAAACCTAGAAGAAATGAACAACTTTATCATAAGTAATCATATGTAGACAAATGCAAAAACTATTTCAATAAAATAGTATTTTATATTACAAAGAACAACCCAAACTATAATAGCTATATATAGAAACTATACATGTACATATAGTTCCAGATTTTGGTTACACCAACATTCATTTTTGAGATGTTGATGCTTATTGGAGACATTGGTCATGGAACAGTGTGTACCCCCATAAATATATCCCTGAAAGAGGATAAAGCTCTATATATTGAACAGTCTGTTTAGTCTTTACATTTTTACACAAATTTTGGAAACAATAGACCTTACCATTTATTCACTTTTGACCAAATGGCCTCATTTCCATGTTTGCCTATTTTAGCATGGCAGGCGCACATGAAAGTTAAATATTCATGTTTCCTGCACACGTTTGTCTCTCATTGATCTTAAGTCCAATCACAAGCTTATTCTTTACTCTCTTATGCGCAAAACATGAGTTTTAATATCACATGAAAATGAGGCCATTGGGTCAAAAGTAAATAAACGGTAAGGTCTATTGAGTTTCAATATAGGTAACTCTCCCATTAATGTTTAGTAACATTGTCTGTTTTTTTAGACAGAGTAAGATAAATATGAGCACACTATTGAGACACAGTGCAGCTTCCAACATTCCTCTCAATGGTCTATCATTATCTAAGTGAAATATGAAACAAATGGTGTTCTGTAATTTTACTCTGCCTGATACTGCTGATTAGGGAAAGTCCATGGACATATAGTTCCGCATGTTCCTTTGTCCATAGGCTTTGTCAAATAAAATTGCCTGGTGTTAGAGAGATTTGTAGGTAAGGTGCATAGCAGCTTATTATTAAATGGTTAAGTAGCAACATTCCAGCTCACAACAGCAATATATTCGCATTCTTGCCA